GCTGACCAGCGAGCCCTCTGCGAGGGTGCTACCTGGTCACCAACAGCGCTGGGAGCAGAATGGAGGCAAGGGAAGGGGTTTGATAAATGTAGGTGTAAATAATTCCTTTGCTCTGGCTTGTGCCTCCTTCCTAGAAGTAGAGGAGGGAAGAGTGAGCAGTGACATCCTCACTTGGAGAGAGTAAAGCTGTGGGATGATGTCCAAGAGGCAGAATCTAGTCTGGCTTCGTCTTGAGGGGAGGGGGAAAGGAATCGGCCCTGGTACCTGTGCAGGGCTGCCTGCCTTGTGCTGCTTGCTTCCTAGAGCTCCCTTTCCTGCGTGTAAGCTCTCAGAGCTACTTCCCTGCTCCCACCTTCGAAGCGTCTGAAGTTTGAGAGTGCCAACGCTAGCTCCTAGAAGGGAAACCTTCCTCTGTTGGCTCTGAGTTGGGCATCAGCAGGCTCTCAAGCACAGAAAGAGACGTCTGGGTTATCAAATGAGCTGAAAAAGAAAGTTTGTAAAAGTGTGGAGCTCAGACTAATAGTAGGTATGAAAAGCTCCTAGCTTGGAAAAAAGCTCTAGGTAATGCAAATCAGGCTGGATATTTCATGCCTCTTCATTCTAAAACTTGTGAATAACCAAGGCTTGCTAAGAAACCTGACTTCTCAGCAGTTATGGGAATTCAGCTGAATAAATTTCCCTGGGAAGAGATGCAACCAGGTGAAACTGGCCCAAGTAAGAGAGAAGCATTGCAGGCTGCGTTAATTTAAAGGAGGAAATGACCTATATAAAGTGTATGTGAATAAAAACTTGGCAAAACCAGGTAGAGAACAGTGTTAGCAGACAGGTGGATCTGCTGTCTGTCTTGTACAGCTGCCCTTGAGCTGAAAGGAGGCTGAAGGAGGCAATGCTGAAGGAATTAAGCTGGTGGGTGTGTTGGAAAGCAAACCTTGGCACATGTGCTCTGAATAAACAGATGCCCTTGCTGAATGGATGCTGTGAAAAGCCTGCTCAGAGCTGCTCTGTTGGTGTTGCAGGGTGGGGAGTTAAAGCACTGAACCAGAGCGTGTAGCTCTTGCTTTTTCTTGGCAGGGGGGCAGCAATCAAGTACTAGGGCTGGCTGTGTGTGGCTTTGGCAGCCGGAGCTCGGGCGGCCGCTGCTACCGCTGCTGGCTCGTCCTGCTCTGCATGGTGGGAGCAGCTTTGGAGCCTGGCCTGCAGCCAAACAGGGATTTTTATTAAGGGAATACTCTGTGTTTAAGGTCAGCTGCAACACAGTTGACTTAAGGGGGATGTGTGCGATAAATCTGTCCAGTGGTTTATCCAGAGCCAGGCCAAAGAGTTTGCCAAAAGCATACAGCCTAACCTCAGTGTAAGGGCAGGAGCCATAGGTACGATGTTCTGAGAGCTGGCTGGCTACATCTGGCAAGGTGCCGGGTGGGAGCTATCCTAGAGTGGGTGCGCAGAGAGGGATGGTGCTGCGTCCCTGGAGGAATGGGCTGGATGCTGGAGGAGGAGAGGCTGTGGTGAAGGGGCACATGGCCTGTACCTTCTGGGGGAAGGACTTGTTTCCAAAGACTTGGTCATCCTTGAGTAGGTGAGTTGTGTTTGTCAGAGCCCTGTGTTTCCCAGGGGCGCAGCACAGGTGCTGTGGAGGCTTGAGGTGAGAATTCTGCGCAGGAGGTAAAATCTGCTGGGCCATCTGAGCTGACAACTGTTTTAAAGTGCAGTAGATGAAAGAAAGCGGCTCCTCTGTAGGTGTGGAGCAATGTCAGTTAGGTCTCTACCTTGCTGCTGTATCAGACTTGCTATCCTTACAATATCACTTGCAGGCATTTTAGATGAAGCAGTTCTGGGAGACAGTGATGAGCAAAGTATGTAGCTCAACCAAATGAGTGCTTTTTAGCTTCTAAAAATACTAAACGTGGGGTTTTATGAAAGGTGAGGTCAGCTGTGTGCAGCAGCTTGTGACAAAATGAGTTCCTGCTCCTACAAAAGCACCTGATGCCCTGGGGAGAGCCTGTCCTGGAGGGAGTAATACTGCTTTACGTAGCATTGGAATTTGATAATCTCTGGATTCTGTGGGCATCAGCAGGACTGAGCCATGGGTTTTGCTTTGGGTCAGAAATGCTCTGGAGCCTGCTGTTGCTAGCCTAGTAGGGCAGTGCCTGCGTGTGTCTTCAAATGGTGACTGTCCCTGTAGCAACTGGAGGAGATCTTGTTCCAGGGCACAGCAGGCTGTGGTCCTGCCACTTCTGCTATAGCATGTTCCTCAATGTGTTCCTACATCAAAGGATGCAAGCACCTGCCTCTAATTAAGCTTGAGGGACTTGTGGGGTTGGGGTTGATGGAAACAAGTTTCTTTGGGATGGCTGGGGGGAAGTGTTGTAGCATTTGTCTGACAAGTCCTATGAAAATGCTTTTCTAACATCAACTGACCCTTCTTATCTTCCAGAGTATTAGACTATTTTCCTCACAAACAAGCCATGGCTGTGGATGTAGCAATGCAGCTATATCTATGCTCTTCGCCCTTGCGGAGAGAGAAGTGTGCCTGCAAAATTGCTCCAAAGCCAAGCAAGCCGTTGCGGCCCTGCATCCAACTGAGTAGCAAGACTGTGCTGAATGGACCAGAAGAGGCAGCAAATTCCTTCACACACAACAAAGTGAAGAAGAGAGTGTCGTTTGCAGATAGCAGGGGCTTCTCTCTGACAATGGTGAAGGTGTTCTCGGAGTTTGATGATCCGCTAGATATTCCTTTCAACATCACCGAGCTGATAGACAACATTGTGGGCCTGACAACAGTGGAGAGGGACAGCTTTGTCCTGGATTTTGTTCAGCCCTCTGTGGACTACCTGGACTTCAGAAACCGCCTCCAGGCAGATTGTGTCTGCCTTGAAAACTGTATGCTAAAGGAGCGGTCCATTGTGGGAACAGTGAAGGTGAGGAACCTCGCTTTTGAAAAGACTGTGAAGATCAGGATGACATTTGACACCTGGAAAAACTTTGTAGATTACCCATGCCAGTATGTCAAGGATATGTATGGAGGGTCAGATCGGGACACGTTTTCCTTTGACATCAGCTTGCCCGAGGGAATTCAATCCCACGAAAGAGTAGAGTTTGCCATCTCCTTTGAGTGCAATGGGAAGATGTACTGGGACAGCAACAGGGGCACAAATTACAGGATCATACGGTCAGAACTGAAGTCTGCCCAGGAAACTGTCCGCGCCCCACGAGGCCCTGACTTTGGCAGCGCCTTTGACCAGTTCGGGAGCCCTCGGTGCTCCTACGGCCTTTTTCCCGAGTGGCCCAGCTATTCGGGCTATGAGAAGCTAGGGCCTTACTATTGACCCAAGGACAAAGTCCTGATTGACTAACTGTTGCTGGTGTGTCTGCAGGCCCGGGAGCTGGTCTGAACGTGAGGCGTACAGAAGGGTGGAAGAAGTATGGCTCCATGTAGCTCTGCATAAGCCTCCCAGCAAAACCAGATGTGCTCTGCTGGCAGTGGGCTTATAGTCAGGGAAGCATCTCTGGTGTAAAGGGCTTCCTTCCCTGCCTCAGCTCAGACAACTGGCTTTCTGGATGCTCAAAGGACCAGGAGCTGTTGCTCATGTCTCTTCAGTGCTGCTACTCCTTCCTCTTCTATAAAGCTGCTAGTCTCCAGGGTAACACTACAGTGCTTATATCGTCTGTCCAAGGTGTGTAGTGGTGGCTGGTTTGTATTGCTTGCCTAGTGTTAAAAGGCTTTTTCAAAATATTAATTTTTAGTGGGCTGTACTTCAGCTGCAGGGCTGTCCTTGCAAAGCTGACCGGTGCCTGTCAGGAAATGGAGTGGTTGGCTTGTGGGGAAGAGAGTCCTCTCCTTGCATGTTTCCTTGTAGCATGAGGTCCTTCCTACTAGAGGCAGAACGGGTGTTTTGGAAATGAAAATGCAACTGTGATGACAGGAAATGTGGCCCTACAGCCTTCCATATTAGGAGACGTATGTGCCTGTGGGAGAGGATCTGATATGCTTAGTCACCAGTTGTTTTATCAGCTGATCTTGAAAAACTCATTATACTCTTGGTGGTACCAAAAATAGAGATTAGCTGTAGCTGTGTTGTGTGTGTAACACAGTTGTGGGTTGATGGCCTTGACTGCCTTCTTCAAAACCTTCCTGTTTCTGTAATCACAAGCGATCAATGATGCTTCTTCCCCTTGATGGACACATGAAGTCAGCTGTTGGCTGTGCTGGGCCTTGAAAATGCAGTTCTTCCTCCTGTGGACTGTAAAACAGGGTTTTGTCCAGCTTGGGGCCTGAGTCCTGTGCAGGAGGCTGTGCTCAGGTGTTACAGAAGCTAATTGCAAATGGGCCACATGGCTACTCTGTGTCCTGTTATAAGGTGACTGTTGTGTATCTACGGTGGTGGAAGCGCCTTGACTGAGAAAGGGGTGGTACATGCGATCCCAGTAATGCTTTGGGATACACAGGCTTTGGAAATGATGTCGCTTTTAAAAAAGATCTCGTAATGGTTTGTTACTCTGTGCCATGGACTGCTTGGCAGCTAATGGTGTGGCACTGTTCACATGTGAGGATGCTGTGGCTAACTGTACTGGATGAAGATCAACATGCTGGGCTTCCCTCGCTGTTGTAGCAGTAGCTGCCATTTCAGCCTGTGAATGCCCAAACTTTGTATCTCTGTGCCCATAAGAAGCGGCTCACCCCACCTCTGCAAAGAACTAGCCGTAAGGAGTGTGAGATGTGGGGTTATCCGGACACCACGCCTGGATGTGAAACAAATCACTGGTGTGAGCCATCCCTATCTTCAAAGAGGTGGCTTGTCTTCTGGGCCTGCGCTGAGGTGAAGCGGCCAGTTTGTGTGGTGCCAAATGGCCTCACAAAGCTTCTTGCGTGCTAGTTGAGCAGAACAACTTAATCCCTCAGCTCCAAGGGAGAGTGTCAAATAGTTTGTAGGAATAGAGGTCAAGGGAATTTTACTTTTTCTAGTGCTTAAGCTTTACATAATTTGGGTGCCTATAATAGCCTATGGATGGGCTGGAGAGAAGCAATGGGCTAGACTGCTTAACTTTTTAAACCTAGCTTTTAATTCTGGAGACTACTGTATAAAATACTTACAAGCTGTTTTACCCTAACATAGAAGGGATACTATGATCACTGTTGGATGCCAAAAGGGGCAAGAAGAGCTTGCAGGAAGAATAGCTAGCCTTCAACTGCTGCTTTTTCAAAACCCAACATAATGCATGTCATCACTGTGCTTGATCACTTAGTTTAGGTGGTAAATCTACTTGCTGGCCCAGAGCTCATCAGGTTTGGTTCCTCTGTTCAAGCAGCTTCCTGAGTCAGCCCTTAACCTGCATCTGGTCTCTCTTAAAGGGACTATTGCCTACCTTGGCTTGAACCTGATTTTAAACTTAAAGCAAGTCTGAGTGACACTGATTTTTTTTTTTTTGATATAGTATATGATGTTAATGCTGTAAGACACTGACTGTAGAAAAGTCATGTTCTCCTGGCATGCTATCATGCTTATGGAGAGCTGTTTTTGGGCTGAAACAAGGCATGTATGTCTGGGGTGCTGTGGATGGTGGTATCTCCTTATGGGCCTGTTTGTTTTCAGGCTGTGGATGGGGTGTGCTTAGGGAGGAACATGGAAGATAAGCTAGAAGAGCAATGCCATAAGTAAATGCTAGGCTGGGAACTGACTATTTGACCAATAGTGGTTTAAAAATACTACTTGTGGCCTTTCCCCTTTTCCCTTTCTCCATTGCCAATGTGAATGTAGAAGTGAGGGGTTGCTCTCCTTGCTCTATGCCTGGAAGTGCCTTGTGGGGTGTTTTGCATGTTTGTTTTTAAAAGATATTTTTGTACACAACATTCAAGTGGAAAATGCACTTTATAATTGCCATGTAATGACTCTTTTAAAAATATGGTTCTGTTTTTATCTGATTGTTAAAATAAAGGTGGAACAAAATGTTGGCTGTTTATATTGCCATCTTCTTATTTAAGCACCCATGGGGCTGGGGAGGCGATTTGGACACGGGACAAGCTTCCTGCAAGTGGCCATTGGCAGGGAGGAGCACATGTCCACAGTGGACTCAGCTGCCTGAAACAGGAAAGAGC